GACAAAAATTAATTTTGAAAAATAAAAAAAGGGCAATAACTAAACAATTATGCAGGGTAGAGTTATCGTTCTTGTGCACTGCACTTTTCCTCAATGAGATTCATCCACCTATGGTTTCAAGTTGATACCTCAAATACTTTTGAGATAAGCTTCGGACAAAATAGTATGAAAAAGAACAAAGGGCAATAACTCAAAAATTGTACAGGGCAGAGTTATCATTCTTGTGCACAGCATTCCTCCTCAATAAAATCTATCCACCTATGACATTTCATGTTGACATCTCAAACACTTTTGAGTTATGCTCCACTCGGGTGAAAAATTAGGTATGAAAAATAACAAAGGGCAATAACTCAACAAGAGGGCCATGATGGCCCTGAGGTCGCTCACCTGTATATAGCCCATCCCCCCCCACCCCCCCGGCCAATTTTTACCCAAGGGCTTTTATTTGAACAGACTTGGTAGACACCCATAAGAAGATGTTTCATGCTAAACATCTAAGTTCTAGCTCATTGTGTTTTTTAAAAGAAGATTTTTTAAGTTTTTACTATACACATAGATAAAAACAATGACACCCCTGGGGCAGGGCCAGTTTTGACCCCCGGGCTTTTATTTGAACAAACTTTGTAGATATTTACTTAAAGATGTTTCATGTATAATATCTAAACTCAAGCTATTTGGGTTTTTTCAAAGAAAATTTTAAAGTTTTTGCTATACACATATAAGGAAAATCAATGACCCCCGGGGCGGGCCAGTTTTGACCCCAGGGCTTTTATTTGAACATACTTGGTAGACACCCATTAGAACATGTTTCATGCTAAATATCTTAGCTCTAGCTCTTTGAGTTCTTTAAAAGAAGATTTTTTAAGTTTTTACTATATGCATATAGGGAAAATCAATGACCCCCTGGGGCGGGGCCAATTTTGACCCCAGGGCTTTTATTTGAACAATCTTGGTAGACACTCATTAGAAGATGTTTCATGCAAAATATCTTAGCTCTAGCTCTTTGGGTTCTTTAAAAGAAGATTTTTTAAGTTTTTACTATATGCATATAGGGAATATCTATGACCCCCTGGGACAGGGCCAATTTTGACCCCAGGGCTTTTATTTGAACAAACTTGGTAGACATTCACTAGAAGATGTTTCATGCCAAATATCTAAGCTCTAGCTCTTACGGTTCTTTAAAAGAAGATTTTTTAAGTTTTTACTATATGCATATAGGGAAAATCAATGACCCCCCGGGGCGGGGCCAATTTTGACCCCAGGGCTTTTATTTGAACAAACTTGGTAGACACTCACTAGAAGATATTTCATGTCAAATATCTTAGCTCTAGCTCTTTGGGTTCTTTAAAAGAAGATTTTTTAAGTTTTTACTATATGCATATAGGGAAAATCTATGACCCCCTGGCACTGCACTCCTCCTCAATGAGATCCAACCACCTATGAAGTTTCAAGTTGATACCTCAAATACTTTTTGAGATAAGCTCTGGACAAAATAGCATGAAAAAGAACAAAGGGCAATAACTCAAAAATTGTATAGGGAAGAGTTATCATTCTTGTGCACAACATTCCTCCTCAATAAGATCTATCCAACTATGACAATTCATGTTGATATCTCAAAAACTTTTTAAGTTTTGCTCCACTCAGGTGAAAAATTAAGTATGAAAAATAACAAAGGGCAATAACTCAAAAATTATAAAACGTAGAGTTATCATTATTGTGCACTGCACACCTCCTGAGTGAGATATATGCACCTACGAAGTTTCATGTTGATATCTCATAGGCTTTTGGAGTTATGCTCTGGACAAAATCAATTTTGAAAAATAACAAAGGGCAATAACTAAAAAATTATGCAGGGTAGAGTTATCATTCTTGTGCACTGCACTCCTCCTCAATGAGGTCTATCCACCTATGAAGTTTCAAGTTGATAACTCAAATACTTTTAGAGATATGCTACGGACAAAAATGTCGGACGGAAGGATGGACGGACGGAAGGTTGGACAGACGGAGACTATTTCTATATCCTCCGCCGCCTTTTCGGCGGGGGATAAAAAAGAAACAAAGATAACATCGTATATGAAAAAGAAAAATAACAAAATAGGTTTTGCAGATTCTCCTAACAAGAAAACAAACTGTAACATACATGTACATATAATATGTTGGTGAGAAACTTAACTAAAACTATTTACACTAAATTCAAGGGTTGTCCCAGTACATAATGAAGTTATGAATTTATATCAGAATGTTAATATTAGCTGTGATTATCAATTTTTCATGCCTACTAATAATAATTTCAGTCATTTATACATGCAAAAACAAGAGGGCAATAATTGGCCTAGATTGCTCACCTGAGATTCACTAGCAAGTTGCAGAAATAAAGCATTGTGTCACACTGGAATGGGTTATTTTTGACACCAAGGGACATAATTTATATAACTTTTGCAAACACAATGCAACATAATAAATATTTTTATTCAAGGCCATGTAGTTTCAGTAAAAAAAAAAACACTGCATTTTCCTATATAAGCCTGCATAAACCTAAGTGACCATAACTGCAAGGCTAAATTCACTTGAAGTTGATAATGTCATTTTTAGCCACCAGGAGCCAATTTAAATCATGTGGGTATGCTTTATGTAACTTTTGTAGTCTATATAAAAGTGATGTCACAAAAATGAAAACTCTGGCCATTGCAATGTCGGAGACTAAATTCTCAAAGATCTATTTATTATACAAGTCTATATAAACTTAAAAATATATTAGTCAATGTAACAAAATTACATTTTTTACCCAAATGGCATGATTTTGTTTTAACCTTTGTAGAGGTCCATTTGTTCACCGAAGGATTATTCCTCTATAATTTGGTGAAAATATACAATGTTGTTGAGGAAATGCTGTTTTTAAATGAATGACAAATGAAGGACAGCAGACTAAATGCCATCACAAAAGCTCACCTAAGAGCATTTTGTGCTCAGGTGAGCTAAAATGTAAACCTTAATTCAAATTTAAGTTTTAAATGTGTAAGAACTCTTGTTAATAACTCTTATTAAGTCAATCCTTACAGCTAAAATAACTAAACACTTACATACATTTACTCAATAAAAACAATTTGTGCCGCGTCATGACAAATCCAATATAATACGTTTGCGACCAGCATGGATCCAGCCTAGCCTGTGCATCCACGCAGTCTGATCAGGATCCATGCTGTTCGCTTACAAACCGTATAACAAGAGTAGAGAAACTGATATTGAACAGCATGGATCCTGATCAGACTGTGGGGAGGCGCAGGCTGGTCTGGATCCATGCTGGTCGCAAACCTATTATGTTGGTTTTGTCATTGCGCGGCTCATTTTATAATTCATGAAATATCAAACATTATACATTGTAGTGACAAACACTAATCACTTTTAATCATAATTATTATTGATAGTAACATACATCAAAATAATAATATTAAGCACTAAATTTATACATAAACAGGCAATAAAAGATTGTGTAAAGTGCTTAAAAAAGCAAGCACTTTTAAACTACTATTAAACATAACAGTATATATTATATTACATTATATACATCCAATTTAATTTAGAAATATTGCTTGGACATTTTTTATTTCATTAGATATTATGACTTTAAAGTGACATTATGCTCATTTCAGTTGTCATGCTGAGTTGCCTACATATTTCCAAAAGATTGACTGTTATAATGGTGATTGCCCAGCATTTGACAATGGAAAATGTTAAGGATAAAATATAAATCTGCCGAAATATATAAAAAGACTGCCCCTCTCTTTTTATAAATTGAATGTTATAGGATAAATTTGATGGTTATTGACAGAACTTTCCTTTGGTCACGTGCACCATATGTTGTTCATGCTAAGTAAATCATAAAACTGAAAGTAATTATGGCAAAATGCTAATTCATTTTTTTTTACTTTCCCCTGTTCATATACTATAAATTGTAGGATGGGCATCATGTTAAATGTCTTATCAGAATAAACTTCCACAAATTATCATAAATAAACACCTTTCTCAACTAATTTGAATCTTAATTATAAAATTGCTCAGAATTGAACTTAAACTTTATATCATTATTTTATACTTTTATAAATGGTTATATTAAAAGAACAAAACTTTACAGCAGATAGAAAAACTTACAAATGAACCTGTATACAAAAATAGTTAAAAAATCAACAGTAAACCACATCAAAAAAGTTCTTGACAAAATAATATTGTACTCATGGGCATATTGAATGTTGTACATACTACTGGTTCACATGGTAACATTACAGTACACATTACCTTTCTTAGGTTAACATTATCATGTACAATCACCCTCAAAGGGATTTCATATTTAATATTAATTGATTACAAAAGGTTGCAAGCAAGCATGTCAGAGATTCATGCATTTAATACATCAAAATTTCCTAACAACGTCTTTTTTTCCTAAACATATATATACTGGGACAATCCTCAAAGGGTTATACACATAAACACATTATTCACAATCATATTATAATTAAGGTATTGGTGTACACTATAAAACATTTTACTGGTTCTTTATTTCTATAGTAATCAATTGAAAGGCACAAAAATAAACAAATTGAAATGGAAGAAATAGCACAAATCGAGGATTGACTGCAAAATTGCAGTAACTTCTATGAAATAAAGAAGAAGTTACAACATTTTAGTGATCAACACCCGGGACAGGCAAAAAACCTAAAACCATGACCCTAAAACCATGATTTATATAACTTTTGTAGAGAACCACAAGATGATGCTACATGACAAATATTTAAACTCTGAAAATTGTAGTTTTTGAAATTTGTTCCCTTTACAAATTTTGGTCCACTGTTTATTACGAGGTAAATATACTGCAATGTAGGGCTAAAGTCTTAGGCCATTATTTATTAAGCAGGCCTAGTTTTATTTCCAGCCTATATTTGACATGTATTAATGTCTGTCATACAGTTGTTGATAAATGTAGTAGGATTTTCATTTTTCAAAAATTTAATATTTCTGTCATTAAAACTCCTGTTTCTAGAAGGCCCCTCTCATGTGTGGACACAGAGGTACTTCCTTTTAATGCAAAATAAACTTGCATGAATAAAACTGTTATGTTTTCTTATGCATTTCAGTAAAACTTTGTGTTTTTTAATGTTACTCACAAGTCAGCTCCGTTTTCACTTTTAGATGATAACTAGAACTCCGCGAGTCGGATGTGTCGCCTTGTGAACAATATAGTTTAGGAGAAATGGCCAGGACAAAAATGAAATACGAAAACTAACAAAGGGCAATAACTCAAAAAATAATAAGTGCAGAGCAGCAGTTTCTATGCACTGCACTTCTTATCAATAAGATCTATCATTCTATGAAGTTTCAAGTCCATATCTTTTATAATTTATGAGAAATGGCCTGGACAAAAATAAAGTATGAAAATATACAAAAAGGGTGAAAACTCAAAAATAAGAAATGCAGAGTACCAGTCCTTGTACACTGCAATTATTTTTAATGAGATCTATCATCCTATGAAGTTTCATGTGTATAGCTTTCATACTTGAGGAGAAATGACCTGGACAAAAATAAAGTATGAAAATTAACAAAGGGCAATAACTCAAAAAATAAGAAATGCAGATTATCGGTTCCTGGGCACTGCACTTCTTCTTAACGAGATCTATCATCCTATGAAGTTTCAAGTCCATAGCTTTTATACTTTCGGAGAAATGGTCCGGACAAAAATAAAGCTTGAAAATTAACAAAGGGTAATAACTAAAAAAATAAGAAATGCAGAGTACTTGTTCTTGTGCACTGCACTTCTTCTTAATGAGATCTATCATCCTATGAAGTTTCAAGTCCTTAGCTTTTATACATTAGTAGAAATGGCCCGGACAAAAATAAAGTATGAAAATTAACAAAGGGAAATAACTCAAAAATTAGGAAGTGCAGAGTACCGATTCTTGTGCACTGCACTTCTTCTTAATGAGATCTATCACTGTATGAAGTTTGAAGTCCATAGCTCTTATAGTTGAAGAGAAATGGCCCGGACAAAATTAAAGTATGAAAATTTACAAAGGGCAATAACTCAAAAATTAAGAAGTGCAGAGTACCGGTCTTTGTGCACTACACTTCATGTTATTGAAAGAAGCATGCATACCAAGTTTGAAGTCAATCCAACTTAAAGTGACTGAGTTATGCTCCGGACAAGCTTTAGGGGATGCCAACGCCGACAACGACGCCGCCTACAAAAGTAAACCCTATATGTCACCTTTGCAAGGCGACACAAAAAATATGATGTAACATTTCACTGTTTTTTGCACATGCCACAAATTGGTTGTGTGATGTACTCATAATTAGTTGAAGTCATGGTTAAATTTGCTAAAGTGTATCATATTACTTTTCAATGGGACCTTAAAGCTGCCTTCAGACTTTATTTTTAGTTGGAAAAACCAAATTCTGCATAGTTTCAAACTAATAATTTCAGTAATTTTATCTTGAAAAGTACATCCTATCACTGTTAAGTCTTCTTCAACAAAGCATTCCTAGAGCTTTTTATAACTTGTGAGTGACTTTCATTTCTAAAAATATAAGATCAAGAAACAAATCGTCGGCCTTACTAATTTACATATAGAGAGCGGACTGGTAAATTAGAAGTATCTAGTGGTTTCCATACTGTTTATGTATTCTATTGATGGCAAATTTCATTTTTCACCTAAATTCTTTTGATTTGACAATGATTTTTCTAAAAATAACATAGACCTTTAGTAAAGCTGAAGGCCACTTTAAGGTGATGACATATGCTAAGTATCTACGTTCTGAGCAATAATGTTTCTGAGGAAAAGATTTCTAAGCCAATTCATTTTTTGCTCCTGTGACCTACTTGTACATCAGAATGGAATCACCTATATAAATTTACTTACTAGTACAATACTAATACTAATACATTCTGGAACTTGTTATATAATTTTTTTTAGGTCCACCTAAGGATCATTCATTCTATGAAGTTTGGTCAAAATCTACAATATGGTTTGGAAGATATTGTGTAAAAAGTTGCCAATTATAAATAGTCCATCATGGACTATGCAAGAATGAAATCATGCTATCACAAATAAGTTAAAACTCAATAATTTAAAATTTACTTCTATACATCCATGACCTAATGTTGAGTGAAATGTATGTATTATAGTGTACACCAATACCTTTTACATGCTATATTATTATAATATACAACAAATGAAATCACTATGTATACATTAATCAATATTATACATGAATCATTTTTACTACATGTAAATTGTTTATTTTCCTTTTATTACCTTTTGTCTTACAGTCATATCTTTGGGGTAAACCCCAAATATTGTAACTTATACCTTAGGGCATTCACTGTAATTATACTGTCCTCTGAAATTTAAAATTAAATGTGAGCATTAAATTACTGACTGCATTGTACAAACCTGCAAAGATGAAAAACCTATCAATTGCTTATTTCACATGATGTTAAAAACTTGACCATAATTATGCATGGAACAACAGACCAATTCATATATGCAATGAAAATAAAGATATAATTTTGTGTTTGTTTAAAACATTGCTGGTTTTTATAGGATTTAAGTCACACTGAAAACTTTAAAGGTCTTACAGTAATTTTCCAGCTTTACTGGTGGAGGAAGACATCAGGTGCACCTTCCTGTATTATTTTAGGCACAAGCTGGCACCTGAGTTGAACAATTGATCTAACTGATAGCTTTTCACATTAATGTTGATATGAAAATTAAAGTTTTCTCATATAAAATACAACAGAAAAACAAACCATTCAATAAGCTTTCCACTGCAATGTCCACTTCTCTCTGAGAATAACCCTCAGAAAGAACCATTATCACTTCCTGTGAACCACGGTAGTCTGAAAATAAAATGATTTCAACATGTATTTATGTTCAATATATAATTTATAAGATAAGAAGCTAAAAAAGATTACATCCAGAAAGCATGCTTTACAACATTTTAAAGCTTCATGAGAACTTATGAGGATAAACTTTTAGGCATAATAGGTATATAAAGTATATAAATACCATATTTGGGAATATAGCATTACTTAGAACATAGATCCCAATTTTTAGTGAGTTGTCAAAGTATATATGAGCCGTGTCACAACAAAACCAACATAATGGGTTTGCGACCAGCATGGATCCAGACCAGCCTGCGCATCCGCGCAGTCTGATCAGGATCCATGCTGTTCGCTTACAAACACTATTACAAGTAGAGAAACTGATAGCGAACAGCATGGATCCTAATCAGACTGCGCAGATGCGCAGGCTGGTCTGAATCCATGCTGGTCGCAAACCCACTATGTTGGTTTTGTCGTGACGCGGCTCATATAGTGCACTGTTCCAAGTTCATATATATATATCATCTCAGACTGGTTGTCATATAAGGTGAATACATTCCTTTCCTCATTCAGTGCATTTATTGTGTAGTCACAGTATGCATTTAATCCAACAGGATATAACATTGAGCTTGTTAGAATCATTTATTTGTAAAATTTTGACAGTAAAGAAAGTGTAACATCGCAATGAGCTAGGTATATACATGCTCCCTTACTTGAGTGCATGTAAGTGATAATTATTTGGTCATATTCATCATCTGGAATGGTTCATTGTGATATGTAAATATAAAATGTACTGACGAAATGTTTCATTTACCACCTGTAGAATTTAAATGACTTAATTTTGATGATGGTCTGAAACTTACAGTCTCAAGAATTTTTACAACAACTCCCTTACATTCTGCAAGTTCATTACTTGAAAAAAGTCTACAAAGAATTTTCTACATTTCATATTCATACATGTGAACTTTTTTGATGAACAAGTGGGAGATTTTTCCTTAAAAAGAGGGAAATTTTAGAATTTGCAATAAACAAAGAAGGGAGTTCTGATATTAAAAAGAGGGAGATTTCTTTAATTTGTGAAAATACCCCTTATTTTAAGAAAAATCTTTGAAAATATGGCTGCAGGAAGTGGGAGTCTCCTGCTTAAAGTGGAAGATTTCACATGTATGCATATATAACAGAGCAAAAGATAGATTGCTTGTATTCTTTAGCTAACCTATTGCATCAAAAGTTTGACCAGTCCCAATCAGTTCATTTACATCGGCAGAATCCAAATTAGGGGAATCTTGCAGGGTTCTGGAATTTTCTGTCACTGCAAACATTGTTAAACCAGTGTAAGTTCCACTCTCTTGTATGCCAGTATGCTCAGATTCGCAAGATTGTGCTTGCAGCAACTCACTGTAAATGTTACCTGAAGTGAAAAAATAACATTATTTACAGTTCAGTACCTAGATATTGGATGCAAAATAATTTCAAATAGCTGACAAGCTTAGCCATAATGTATTGTCAGCAATAAGGCAATACAGTTAAAACTGATCTGACAAGGGAGGTAAATGTGTAGCAATTTAACAGTCAATATTTTGGAGTTACTTTTTTGGACTTGTTTTACTTCAGGTATGTAGAGACATATCCAGCTATGGCCAATCATTTGTTTGTTTTTGGTAGCATACATCAATATCATGGCGAGTATGTTCAACATGATCAAATCTCTTAGAAAAAGTAACAACAAGAAGCGCCCCAATGTGACAAAAAACCAGGTTTTCAACGACCAAGTTTTGATGTGAAAATTCTATTGTAAGCAAATGACCTTGACCTTGCTCCCACATATCTAAGTGGCAATCCAAAGCTGCCACAAAGCAAGTTTGGTGTCAAAAGGTCAAAGCAAACTCTTCTTATTACATGAAAACTGAATACATTAACCTTGATCACAGACACCTGGGTAGCAATCCAAAGCTGCCTCTTGATATAAGCTACCCATTTATCAAGTTTGGTGTCAATAGGCCAAAGCAAACTCAAATTATTGAGCAGAAACTGAATTTCTCTTTTAGTAACAGTGACCTTGACCTTGATGACAGACGCCTGGGTAGCAATCCTAAGCTGCTTCCTGATATAAGCTATCCCTACACCAAGTTTGGTGTCAATAGGTCAAAGCAAACTCAAGGTATTGGGCTGAAACTGAATTTCTATTTTTAGTAACAGTGACCTTGACCTTGATCACAGACACCTGGGTATTAATCCCTTGCTGCCTCTTGATATAAGCTACCTACACACCAAATTAGGTGTCAATAGGCCAAAGCAAACTCAAGTTATTGAGCGAAAACTGAATTTCTATTTTTAGTAACAGTGACCTTGACCTTAATCACAGACATCTGGGTAGCAATCCTAAGCTGCCTCTTGATATAAGCTACCTACATACCAAGTTTGGTGTTGATAGGCCAAAGCAAACTCAAATTATTGAGCAGAAACTGGATTTCTCTTTTAGTAACAGTGACCTTGACCTTGATCAAAGACACCTGGATAGCAATCCCAAGCTGCCTCTTGATATAAGCTATCCGTACATCAAGTTTGGTGTCAATAGGCCAAAGCAAACTCAAGTTTTTGAGAGGAAACTGAATTTCTATTTTTAGTAACAGTGACCTTGACCTTGATCACAGACACCTGGGTAGCAATCCCAAGCTGCCTCTTGATATATTTAGCTACCTACACACCAAGTTTGGTGTCAATAGGCCAAAGCAAGTGGAAACTGAATTTCTATTTTAAGTAACAGTGACCTTGACCTTGATCACAGACACCTAGGTAGCAATCCCAAGCTGCCTCTTTATATAAGCTACCTACACACCAAGTTTGGTGTCAATAGGTCAAAGCAAACTCAAGTTATTGACTGCCTGCCCGCCCGCCAACTTGGCATTACAATAACCCCGTTTTCGTTGAAAACCTGGTAAATAATGTCCAAACAGTCCAAGCTCTATTTGTTCTTCAGTAAAGACATGACAATAGAGAATAATGCTGGTGATAGCACAGCCAACTCATATGCAGTCCTGCAACATAGAAACAAGGAAGTTTAACTCTAACAAAATAAATATCTATTCTTACAGTGTTTAAAAAATGACGTTTGAATGCTTTGATATTTTGATGTCAACCAAATCAGCAAGAAATATGTTTTAAAGAATAGATTGCGTTAAAGTAAGTGGAGACAGGTTAAGCTGTTAGCTAATTTTGGAAATCCATATTTTTATGATGGGGTCCCTATTTTCTACAAGTGTGAGTCCAAGGTACTCCCAAATTTTTGACAAAGTGTAAACCCTCGCCAGTGTTAGTCTGAATGAACAGTGTTTAGCCTGAAGTCAGATACCACCATTGTTTTATAGCCAGTGTTAGCCTACATGGCTATGCAAACTTGCACATAATCTGTGCAGTCAGGCCTGGATCTCTACTGTCAGCTTATTTATTTCAGAATTCCAACATATATACTCTTATAGGCCCATTTAGTCAAAAAAATGTTATTCTTAGTTTTAAAAACTTTTTTGTATAAATGTCCTTTTATAGTTTCTTTGGCCATTGGCATGCCTTATTAGTGATTCATCTTATGAGTAACACAGTTATACACAACATTAAGCAAAAGATGTCAGAGAAGCAGTGCTCTCCACTTTTTTCAGTGCTGGATAGTAAACTGCACATTTTCTAATTAAAGGAAAGGTCACATTGACCATGTGTCACCTTTTGACCTAAAATGGATGGTAGCATTCATCAAAGTCAACAACATACAAAGTTTGAAATTTCAAACACTCTGCACTTAAATATAAAGGCCAGTTTCATGTTTTGTTTTTCAAAGGTCCTAGTGACTTGACCTTTGAACTTTTGATTTAACTAGAACTGTGTCCAAAGGACACGGATGCCCCCATGACAACATATATATGGTATATAGTGAAAAAATCAACAAAGGGCCATAATTCTGTTAAATTTGGTCGCAGCAAAAATTCCTTCCTTTACTTCTATCTACACATTAAGGTTGTTCATCCCTGGAAGTTTAAGCAAAATCTGCCATCCAGTTTAAGAGGAGTTGTGTTCACAAAATTTCTATATGGTATATAGTGAAAAAATCAACAAAGGGCCATAATTCTGTTAAATTTGGTCGCAGCAAAAATTCCTTCCTTAACTACCATCTACACATTAAGGTTGTTCATTCCTGGAAGTTTAAGCAAAATCTGCCATCCGGTTTAAGAGGAGTTGCGTTCACAAGATTTCGGGACGTACGGACGGACGAACATTCTTACCAGAGCTACATTATGGGGTTTTCTTTTATTTCTTTTGTTCTTTTTAACCCCACAATGCAGAAAATAACCCAACAAGAGAAACGGAATGAATGACATCAAAGACATCTATTGTTATGAGAACAATAGACCAAACCCCATAATGTAGCTCTGGTTTGTACGGACAGACATACGGACGGACGGACAAGTGGGAGCATAAAAATGTGTTCGGCAGGTGAAACTCATTAAGGTGCATCAAAATTTAAAGTTTCTAGGTTATTGCAATTGGATTTAATAGCCAGTTTTATATTTTCTCATAACATATCCCAGTAGCCTTCACCTTAAGATGGATGTGACAGGTAGAACTCATTTAATGCAAGTTTAATGTTTTAAAATCAATACACTTTAATTGTATGGCCAGGTGTGTTTTTTATTACTACAAGTCCAAGTGACCTTGACCTTTTGACCTAAAAATGAAAGTGGGAGCTACAATTTATCAAGTTGTATTCACATTCAAAGTTTACTGTTGGTACCGTTAAAGTGATTGAATAGCTGACTACTTTCTAGTTTTTACTATATGACAAAATAAATAAATGGCACACCACTCATAGCTTGAATTCTTCCTCACAGAAAAGCTTAAACTTAAGATTCTAAAAACAGCAAAGAGCCTGATCAGACTGCTCTGAAATGCAAGCCTGCATGGCTCAAAACTGGTGGCAAATGTCAATAACTTTAAGTTCTAACAGATTGAGGATAAAGCATATTTTTCAACTTACTATCATCATCGTCACCATGTTCACCATGTGGGAACAAGAATTCAGGATCTTCTCTTTCCTGTCTTTCCTGCAATAAAAGATATAGTGGTAAAAAATAAACCATGAGTTATTATACTCACAATTAACTAATTGTATCATTAAAGTCATATGATCAAGTTTGATATAGGAAGTTTTAAAGATAAAACAAACTGACGTACTAGTGATTAGAAATCACATATTTTCTTCAGATTGTCTGTTTCAGAAAATCACATAACTGATTGTCATTATTTAAGATTGAATTGATGAAAAAAACATAATTCACAGTCAAGAATATACCAAATTAAGATTACAAAATATAGTTAATTACCATGAATATTTTTCACAGAAATATCAATTTTAGCAACAAACACTAATTTCAGAATCTTTTGAATCAGCTAGATAAGTTACATGAAAATAAATAGGCAGATCAATATATTTGCACAATTATTATACAAATTTTAATGAAAGAAATTATTTAAAAATAAAAACAATATAGGATAAACACTCAAGTATAGCATATATGTATTTTACAAATTATATGTTGCTTCTTTTTACACTAAAAGAGTCAGATTGTAAGATCTACATATTAAGTAGCAAGTACAAATTCCTAAATACGATACTGCTCTATAATCTTTTTTATACGTTATATTCACATAAAATGTTATAATTGAGCCACGTCATGACAACACCAACATAGTGCGTTTGCGACCAGCATGGATCCAGACCAGCCTGCGCATCCACGTAGTCTGATCTAGATCCATGCTGTTCGCTTATACCAACTCTATTACAAGTAGAGAAACTGATCATAAGCGAACAGCATGGATCCTGATCAGACTGCGCGGATGCGCAGGCTGGTCTGGATCCATGCTGGTCGCAAACGCACTATGTTGGTTTTGTCGTGGCGCGGCTCATATGCAAAATCTGTATAAGCAAACATCTATATAAACCTATAAGTATTACTTTTCTTCTTTGAACATTCATTGTTAAGACTATAATACTAAATCTATTCCTTATCTACTCAAAGGACTTAAATTGCATCATTACTATATTCTTTTCCAACATTTTATATACTTTGAAGCTAAACACCTCAAAAAAACTGTCATTATAATATAAAGTAGATTAGAATGAGTTTTTGTAAGACAGTACACTTGACTATTTGATAGTTTCCACAAAGCTGTAACTGGATAGGGTAAAAAAAGGTGTTTAAAAACTTTTGTATGCTTTTCAGTAAACTGTGAACTTATATCTTGATAATACGCAGTGAAATTATTAAATGTAATTTTCTCACTTAGCCAGACTTAATACATATAATATTAGAAAGTGGGTGAAAAAGAATATATCATTAAAGGGACTCCACTGAGGTCCAGAAGCCTAAAACCATAAAATTTGAATTTCTTACCTAGATCAGCTGAAGCACTTAAAACAGAAAGATAAGAAAAAGATAATTAAGAAATACACTCAAAAATAAAGTGAAAATTGTATTTTTTGTGTGTTTATTAACCCAATTAGATTGAAAAAGCGTGCAATTCTCTTCAAATTTGGGTAAATTTTCACAATTAGAATTTTGGAAAAAGAAAGTAAGCAAATTGTCAGAAATTTTGCAAACACTTAGTTAATCTCGAAAAAATATTCCCAGTCCCTTCATGTCAAAAAACCTCTGTGGAGTCCCTTTAGTATTTAGAAATATCTTAAGAAATACAGAGATCAACGGTACTTCATGATTTGGAAATGCCTTGAATGAGAGGCATGTCATGCAATAAGCAGCAAATATAATTGTAAAAAAATACTGAAATCAACTTAATTAAATAAATGTTTGTTTTGTATGTGAATTATATATCATTTTGCTTAAGCGGCTTGTGAAAATATTACATCTGGTGTTCACTGTCTGAAATATATTTTAATCTCAATTGCAAAACAAACAAATATTATCTATACATGTATGTATAGACAGACCATTATATCACAGATTAGTGACTAAATATACCTCCAACATCTCTATGACTTAGGCCCATTTATCATTATTTTTTAATGCAAAGTTTGAAGAAGTCAATTAAGATGTAATAAGATGTTATAGTGTGGACAAATATTGTCTGACATTTGACCTTCAAGTATGACCTTGACCTTGAGCTGGTGCAGTGTTGGCATGGGTTCTTAACCTTAACTTGTTCAAGGCTGACATTAAATTTCAGACCTCTAATGAAAATTTGAGCCAAGTATTAAGAAAATCCTTCAAAGGTATAGGATTTATAGATCAGTCACAATCTTGCCTGATGTTTGACATTTATGTGTGACTGTGACCTTGACCCGAAACATCTGCAGCTTCGGTTTTGGACATCATCCTGTTGAGGTAAATATGTATGCACAGTTTGTAGAAAATCCATCATTTAATGGAATAGGAGTTATGGAATAGACACAAAAATGCCTGACATTTGACCATTGACAGTGGCCTTGACCTTATGACAGTACATCAGCCACATTGCTTCTTAGTATCAACTTGTTAAGGTGAACATTTGAGCCAAGTCTGAAAAGGCATAGAGTTATAAAGCGAACAAAATGGAGACAGATGAACATACTTATGTGACAAAGTGATTCTAATGTGTAATTACTAGCCCCTTCCACATCTTATGGAGTATATAATAAGTGATAAGGTAAACAATTAATTTTGTTGAATAAAAGAGCATAATTACGATATATAACAAGAACTGTCGGTAGGACAGCACACTCGACTATTCTAAGTGCTTGATAGTAAAAGAGCCTTGATAATGTTAAATTTTTTAAGTTCATAATTTTTTTTTATAAATTCATGTTATATGCCTTATAGAGTCTAATTATACAGTATTGGCTTGACTATTCGGAAGGAAATGTCACAAGGGTGTTTTATTGAGTATAATAATATTAATTACCTATGAATACATAAATTTGACAGAAAAGGTACAAAGGCTTGTTATTAAGATGTTTTATCAAGTAAATCACTGCTTTATTATCAGGAATGCATAAAACTGTCCCAAAAAAGGCACAAACCCTTCAGTAGTTGTTGATATAACAGCTTACAAGCAAAACTTTACCATGAATTTCTAAGTTGAAAAAAGGGGAGAAAAATCCGCCTAAATGCAAGATAGAATTATGGATCTTTGTCAGTGACCTACAATTATGACCCTAAATCATATGTGAAGTTTTAAATAAATATCTTTAATAGTTATTGAGATATGTAAAACTTGCATGTAAACATTATCCAAGAGATTAAGTAGAAAAGGGGATATGAATCAGCCTTAATGCAAGATAGAGTTATGGAACTTGGTCAGTGACATACAATTATGACCTTCCAATTATGACCCTAAGTGCAGTGTAAAGTTTCAAGTAAATATCTTTGAAAACCTTTAACCTTTAACCAAATTTCTAAGTTTCAAAGGGGCAAATAATTCCGCAAATATTGAAGGCAGAGTTATGTAATTTTGCAAACTGATGTACATTGTTACTATAAAAAAGTTTTTAAATTTCAATTGAATATCTCAAGCAATAATTGAGATATTTGACTTTACAAAAAAACTTTAACCAAAATTCTAAATTCCAAAAGGGGCATAATTTTGTCAATATTGTAGGCAGAGTTATCCAACTTGTCAATCTGATGTACCTTGTTACTATAAATAAGTATTGTAAGTTTCAATTGAATATCTCAAGCAATAATTGAGATATTTGACTTTACAAAAAACTTTAACCAAAATTTCTAAGTTAAAAAGGGGCATAATTCTGTCAATATTGTAGGCAGAGTTATCCAACTTGTCAATCTGATGTACGTTGTTACTATAAATAAGTATTGTAAGTTTCAATTAAATATCTCAAGCAATAATTGAGATATTTGACTTTACAAAAAACTTTAACCAAAATTTCTAAGTTAAAAAGGGGCATAATTCTGTTAATATTGTAGGTAGAGTTATCCAACTTGTCAATCTGATGTACCTTGTTACTATAAATAAGTATTGTAAGTTTCAATTGAATATCTCAAGTAATAATTGAGATATTTGACTTTACAAAAAACTTTAACCAACGCAGACGCCGACGCAGACGCTGACGCCGACGCAAGGGCGACTACAATAGCTCTCATATTCTTCGAATAGTCGAGCTAATACCATATTTACAATGGTGATTTGAAGCATATGCTGCACATAATTTATCCACTTGACAATACAATGTAGTTCAAGGACATTGTGATAAACAATTAGCATTATTTGGAGGCTTAGTTGCTGCTTTAATTAATATTTAACTGCATATTTACATAATTTAACCCTTCATCTGCTAGAATTGTAAATCATTAGCCATAGAGGCACACAAGCTGGCACATCCATGCAGTCTGACCAAGCTCTACACTGTTGGTAAAACAATTTCTGTATTTTGATACTGATATCCTCTTCAACTTTAAATGAACTGTTCTAATATCTAAGCAGGGCAAATCATTATATAATTCAGCATGTTAAGGGTTAATATAGCTTTAAGTCACACAGAAACTGTAAAGGTAACTTATATGGTGACCTTTCCCCTCTGTGCTTTAGTTCAGTCACAAGCCAGCCCTGCGTGGTTACAATTTAAACTAGGTTATCTATCAAAGTTAGTTTGCTATTATTCTGTTATAAATAATAATGTGAGCATTCCTCTAAGGGGATTTTAATGTATAATATAAGTATATTTCTACAGACATTATTTGTAATGCAGACTATATGATCTATATAACATTGTTAGAAGGTGCTCCTTTAACAAATAAAACATGGCCTTTAGGGTAATATGCAAGTTTAAGGACTTGTTGGTCAGACTGAGGAAGGTATATGGCGCGAATCGCAGCTGAGGGACATATACCTTCCGAGGTCTGACCAACCAGTCCATTAACTTTCAATTTGCCGAAAGGCCATGTTTTATTTGTTATTTTATACCAAATCTAAATCATTTCATCCCTTTTGTTGCAAAAACATCCCTTTTGTTGTTAAAAAATAGTCATTTTTACTATAATTTGCTTTCAAATAATAATTCTATTTGCTCAGTGTGTGAAATATCCCAAACCTTAGTCAGATTTTTAAAATTATTTTCAAACAATGCAGCAAAAAATCATGCTCTTCTTTTAATACTCCATACTTGCTGATCAAATTAAATATTCAAGGAATATTTAAGGAAAAATACCCGTACTTTAAAAATTTCACAAAGTGTATAAATAAAATTTTTAATTAAATTAAAGACCAATCATGACTTTTGATCAACATGTAATAAATTTATGTGAAACATAACAATAAATTGAGTAAAAAGAATCATTTAACAACAAAATAAAATAGTACACCAGTCATTTGCATACACCTGTCTATATTTAATATGACGTCATCCAGTCAATATACAAATTTTGGACTGGGTACCGGTCTGTATGCGATTTATGGACTGGATGATGCCATATTTAAATATAGAAGGGTGTATGTAAATGAGGTATAATATTTCTGTATAATCATAATGAAAATTGATAAAAATCATTACAAGGGTGTTCAGTTGTGCAAAACCATATAAAGCAAGATGAAATCATGGTGAGGTTTTACTTTTGTTGGTGGATATATCAAGATTGTTAACATCTATAGTCTTGGATCTTCAATTTAATGTTTTAATGTTATACCTGCTATATATAATCTGTTATCCATGTTCTCTAGGGGGTTACACTCAACCGGAGAGGACTTTTATAGTAGAAATTTAACCAGGTTGCAGGATATTTATATTATGTATATATTATTTATATACATGAAGTAGAGGCAAAAGAGGATAAATAAATGGTAAAATAAATAGGCATCGAGATTAAGGCTTTAGGATTGGCAAAGGCGAGATTTTTTAAGAGTAAGTTTAATATTTATTGAATTAAAGTTGATGCATTTGCATTCCAATCATTTCAAAATTATTGGTCTTTAAATCATTTAGTAAGGAAACCTTGAGGAAAATTATTAATGTATCATATGGAATATTTGTAAGCTCAGTACATGTTACATAATATTATGCAAGAGATGTACCAATTAAAAATGTGCTGTAAAAAAAAAAGAATATTTGAAAATTAAACCCTGTGTTTAAACTTAATTTAAAGCCACTAAATATTTTACCTACTTTAAAGTGCCATTGCATTTTAGTGTAGCCAAAGCATGTACTAACATGCATGTTCTCCATGCCAAAATCAATCTAAACATAGGTTAAGTGTGTGTGACTTTGACTACATGCAAATTATTTTTTAACATACTTAAATTCTAAAATTTAGTAGAAAACAACTATAAAAGCTCTGAAATTTACCATGTATATTTCTTTAAGTACAATGCAAGACAAATAGATGACATATAATCACATGGAAAAGCACTTTAGGCCAACATATATTATATACTTACTTTATAGAAACATTCTTTCAAAAAAAATGAAAACTGTGTCAGGAAAAAGAGTAACTGAATGGTAACAAATCAAAATTTACTTATCAGTATAGTTCAATAGTTCTTATATTGATAGGTCAACATGTAGAGGAGAAGTTATCCATGAAACAAAAAGTTACTTTAGTTTTATTGCTTTACTAGGTGATGATGAGTCTGACAAATGAACTTTAAATGGATTCCACTCTCACAGAATGGGAATAGAAATGTAAGTCTTATGATAGTCAGGACCAAATTTCCCGTCTGTAGATTTTCCACAGTCTTTCTGGAAAAACTCTGGAAAATAACTGATTTTCCATGAATTTCCATGAATTTTCATGGAAACAAGCTTTTTTCCACAGTATTTACAGAGTACTCTGGAACAATTTTCATGGAGAACTCTGGAACATGACTTTTTCATCAAAGAAATAACCATGAAACAGTTCTGGAAACTCTGGAAAGTTAACACTTAGACAATTTTCAAGGAGTTTTACTCTGGAAAACACTTAGTCATTTTTGAGAATGTTTTGGACTTAGGAAATTTTCATTTTATTTTTGCATTTACATATACTTCACTTAATACATTTAACTTTAATATTTTTTTCCTAAGTAGGCATAAATATTTTTTTTAATATAAGACAGTTTTGGTTTTAAGACATAATGAAAATAAAGACAATTTAAAATATGGCATTGACACAATTGTAAATTGTTGAACGAAACAGCAAGAACAAATGAATTTAATTACTTAGCAATGAGATTGGTCATACATGTGTACTCATTGTAATTAAAAGTAGCAGTTAGCAAAATAAACATTTATTGTTAAACAAAATGAAACCTTAATAAGCCCATCAAGAGCTCAACTGTTTCTTTTTTTATTGCAAAAAAAAAGCTAAAAAAAAAAACACATGCAACTCCATTGCCATTCTTTGGCATTGAAAATGCATCAAGGTATTTTTTCATTTAACTCTCATTATTTTCAAGGTATCTCATATCAAGCCTCAGATCTGAGTGGTTCATTATTATATATTACCCTCAGTTAGAAAAAATAAATACACAATTAAAGAGAAACAAGTTAAATTTAAGAACAAATGTAATTGTTATGCACTTATGTTTCTTTATTAATTGATGATAAATTTATTATGTATCTCTATTGAAGTATATATTTTATCTATATATTCATCCTGTGTAGAAGTAACTTATGTATAGTGATTAATTTCTGGAACATTCAAATCAGCATCAGCCACAATGTAAATATTTATGACCCCTCAAGTGGAACCCACTGTTTTCATAAACACCAAAGTTAAACTCACCTATCTGATATAAGAGAATAGAAAGAGGTAAAGCAGGTTTACAACATACTATATTACACTGTAGTTCCCAAGTAACTTAATACCCTTGCAGAACAAATCACAGGTCAGAACACTCCTTCCAGGCGGGTCATTTGAACAGAAAGCATTGAAAGATAATGTTTATTAGTGCCTAACTGCTTAAAAGTTATAACTTGAAAAATTATGTTTGAGCATTGGATATTAGATCAAATGAGTTTAAACTGGACAAATTTACAAAAGTTTTCTGGAAATATGAACTTTTAAACATGTGTATTTCATGATTCAGTTAAAATGGAGGGAACTACATGTATATCATTGTATATATAAACATTTCTAACAGTAAGTACAAATGTATTTTTATTTTTTAACACTTATTATTTTAGTTTTTTCAAATTTTCTTTGCAAGTATACACTGTTTTGGTGATTGTATTTCTACATACATGTAACTTTTCAATATTAATAGTTAAGAAAATCTTTTTCATTTTTGCGACGGACGCGCCCTCAGGCGCGTTCAGAGCTAAGTCATCTACACATGGGATTTTGTTGGCTACACTCGCGCAATGTGTCCTAAACCGATTAACAGCCCAAGAAATAGTACATGAATTTGATCCTTCAAAACTCCCATACTTTGTCTGGATATCTTAATGTCTTCCATATTTAGCCTTTTCAATTTCAAATTAAGTTATCAAAGTTAAAATATGAACGTATATTATTGATAAAAACTTTATAGTCCCGTAGTATTATTGCGCATTATGCAAATTACTGCTGAAACGATTTACCGCTGTCGGAAAAGTAGGACAGCAAATTATACTACAATAAAGGTGTAACCTCTGAGTTCCAAGACATTATTAGTAGGAAATAAATATTTCTACATTATACAAAACATTATTATAAACAAATCAAAAGTTTTTCGTGACTCTAGGATAACTCGCGCATTAATAAAAGAAGAACTATTTTCGTGACTCATACCGCGGGTTTAGCTGAATATTCAGCAGTTATTAATATATTAGATTCAGTACAATAGTTAGTATAAATATCTATTTTTGAAAATGCATGTAAGAAGAGAGTTATTCAACACTTTACCGCCATGTAGTCTTTCATGGTAAGGAAGTTATAATATCAGTTCTACTTCCGATTCTTGTGGTTTGTTTACATATTTTTCTAGGTCATGATATGAATTAACCTTCGCTATTCTAAAAATAGATTCTGCTTTACCTGTTCTGATTTTTGGACAGGCGATAAGGGAGTACACATTATACATGTAATTAATAAACCAGCGGATTACATGCAATACTTTTAGAAATTCTATACAATTGTAAGAAGCAAACAAGTTGAAAATGGAATTTAGTGTGAAATTGAAAAGGACAACTAAACACTGTAGTGCTTAAGTGACATTTAAATTAAAATAAAAACGATGTGCTCTGGCCTCTACATCTTTACCTTGTAAATAAAAAATTCTAAAAAATACACTATTAATTGCTGATGATTTTAACCAAATTTTTTTAATGAGACATATTATCCAAGAGAAATAAAAATACAAATGACTTATATTTTATTGTCTATATGCCCACTATGATATAACACGAAGCAATTCTAAATAGCATTCTCAAATTTATAATGTATTATGTTTGAAGTTTATTTGCCTGGATTTATTTAAGAAATATTTCGTTGACAGTTTTTTTTCTATTTACATATCATTTTTTAGAATAAATCGATAAGGACACTGATTTACAAGTTTGACCAGAGTTTTTAGGCATGAATTTCATTCTGAATTTCATTCTGTTTCTACTTTCTGTAGTGCTTGAAAGTAGAAAATCTGAATTATATCAGTTTGGGACACAAAATATATTGCTCTACAAATCTCGAACTTGTATGGAACAAATTTTCTCTGTTATATATTTTGTGTTTTGTTTTTGTTTAAAAGAAGCCTTAATGTCTCTCCGGTTGCGTGTCCGTCGCATTCAGTGCTGCAGCACTTTGATTAAATAATGGCGGGAAATTTTAAATCAGAGATTATAATTTTCCATTCAAAATATTTGTGATTGAAACAGATTCCATATCAAGCAATGAATTTCCAAATTCACTTTTAATGAAATTCATATGCCTTAATTGTAATTTCTTGTTACTCATGTACATATGTTTATTTTTTCAACATATTAGGTTGCAAACTTTCAAGTCTTGGAGTCACATGAGATGTTTCCTCTCAAAGGATGTCAGATGAGGGAAAAGTGATAAATGTACTGGTGAATACAGAATGCTTACAGAACTATCCTGGTAATAATTTAGTTTGTTTTGTTGAAAAAAGTCTAAGTAACATGTTTTCATATAAATGCATGCTATTTTCCAAACTCTGAACAAAATGTTGTTCTTCATGTTTTATGCATATATTATTGTTATACTGACTCCACTGAACACATCTCTATTCTGACTCCACTGAACACATCTCAAACTTTCATTGGTAATTAAGTACTTGTGAAGATCATTGTGTAATTTAAACTGCCATTACATAAAGTTTTCATTACATAGCTATAGGAAAAGCAGGGAAATAATTGACACAAGTTTATCATAATGTTGATTTTGACCAAAAAAAAATTATTCTCATCAAAGCATGGTATTTACTTTATAACTCTGTGCTGATATTCTGCAAAAATCATTGAATTGAAAGTTTTCCATCTTAACTTTTTTCACCCTTTTGTGTTTTTTATCAATCCTGTTTAAACAATACTAATTATATTGACATTGTGCATATAACACAAGTACATGTATTTATATACAATTAATTCATATTTTTCAGTATCCATCAGAGAGGTCACACCACAAGTCAAGAAGATGTTGCATCATGTGAAGTGAAGGATATATACATGTGTACTAGATGGATGTTAAATTACATTTGTTTGAATAAAACACTCTGACTTAGAAATAATTGTGAAATGTGCAAATTACTATATGTGTTTGAATTCTTGATGACTAGAGTGCTTTTTTGGATTTGCTAATAAAAACATATTAAATGCAAATTAAAAGGTCATTTGATTTTATTATGCAACCATCATTTCAGTAATCCCAAAATGTTCCAGAGTGAATTCCATAGAATTTCCAAAATTATTTCAAGGCTAATGGCATCTTACCCCATATCCTATTTTTAACTGCGGAACTTTTTCCACAGCGGCTCCGGAACATTTTCCAGAGTAATTCCGGAACATTTTCCAGAGTAACTCCGGAACATTTTCCAGAGTAACTCCGGAACATTTTCCAGAGTAACTCTGGAACATTTTTCCGGAGTAGAATGTCATTTTAGCAGAACAATTTCCAGAGTTGCTTTGAAACTCTGGAACATTTTCATGGAAAACTCTGGAAAAGTTTCATGAAAAAAGCTCTGGAAATTCGCGATTTTTTTTTTCAGTTTTCTTTGAACAACTCCGGAAAATTAGTCCAAATTATCCAGAGTTGGCAATTTCCATGAAAATTGCGGAAGTTTTCATGGAAATTCATGGAAAATGTACGGACGGGAAATTAACTTGTGTGCAGAATCCTCTTTTTCTCCCTTTTTTTAAAACTGAATCAGACCGAGAATAGCACAAAAATGATTTTAAATATAATATCGAGGACATAACTCAAAAATGAAAATAAGATATAAAGAGTTTAGCCACATTACAGATGTGAAAGTTCCACAGAAAATGTTCCCATGCTTCTAAAGATTAAGCTATCAATAGAACTTAAATATGACCAGATAGGCACAACAATGAGAACTACCATCAGTTTTTGCTATCATAAACAGCTGGTAAGAGGCAATGACAGATCAATAAAATTTGAATTTGACAGCATGTAGTATCAGTCTGGGTTGACATAAGTGTGAATTTAAAGTAACATTTAAGATAAATATCATAGCTATTTCATACCTCATGTCTTTCTCCTGACATACATGTTATAAGTAAGTAAGTAAGTAAGTAAATGTTTTATTATAGTGACATGTGTATGACAGTTTACAAATAACGAAATTAAATAATTTAACATAACACCCGGCCCAATGGACCAATAAGTCACCTGAAACATATATACATTATAAATAGTTCACATGAAATTATTATACTGTACACATCATCAATATTACAGGATAAATATTTCAACGATTAAATAAGGATTTCTTTCTTTTACAATAAGCATTAACAAGGTATTTAGCTACTTTTCGTGGAAAACTTACAACAAGATATTTCATTTTCATATCATCGTTCATGCTCATAAAATCTTCATTCATAAATTGTTCACTAAAAATGTCTACTCTGATGTTGTTGTAAAAGGGACACTGGACTTATGTTATATGATGAATGTGAGCAATTATATGCAAATATTTAATATATACGATATATGACACAATCATATAATTCATGTCTAGCTTAATTCACTTTTTCTTTGATACATGAAACACAGCATTTTAAACACTTTGAAATTAGTCTAAACAAGATATGTTTGTAAAACATGTATGCCCCCTATCAGCAGCCAATTATTAATGTGATAAGGTTATTATGCATGACTTCTGACCCAGTGATCAAACAATTAATAAGGGTTATCAAGTATCCACTGGTCATGACCTTGACCTTTGACCCCTTGACCCAAAACTCAATAGGGGTTATCTGCTGGTCAAGACCAATCATCATACAAAGTTTGAAGTTCCTAGGCCTAAGCGTTTTTAGTTAATTGATCAGAAACCGTTTTTACCTACAAGGTCAATGTGACCTTGACCTTTGACACCTTGACCCCAAAATCAATAGGGGTCATTTGCTGGTCATGACTAATCACCATGCCAAGTTTGAAGTTCCTAGGCCTAAGGGTTCTTTTATTATTGATCCGAAACCGTTTTAACATACAAGGTCAATGTGACCTTGACCTTTGACCCCAAAATCAATAGGGGTCATCTGCTGGTCATGACCAATCACCATGCCAAGTTTGAAGTTCCTAGGCCGAAGCGTTCTTTAGTTATTGATCAGAAACCGTTTTTACTTACAAGGTCAATGTGACCTTGACCTTTGACCCCTTGATCCCAAAATCAATAGGGGTAATCTGCTGGTCATGAAAAATCACCATACCAAGTTTGAAGTTCCTAGGCCTAAGCGTTCTTAAGTTATTGATCAGAAACCATTTTACTTACAAGGTCAATGTGACCTTGACCTTTGACCCCTTGACCCAAAACTCAATAGGGGTCATCTGCTGGTCACCACCAATCATCATACAAAGTTTGAAGTTCCTAGGCCTAAGCGTTTTTAGTTAATTGATCGGAAACAGTTTTTACCTACAAGGTCAATGTTACCTTGACCTTTGACCCCTTGACCCCAAAATCAATAGGTCATCTGCTGGTCATGACCAAACACCATACCAAGTTTGAAGTTCCTAGGCCTAAGGGTTCTTAAGTTATTGATCGGAAAGCATTTTTACCTAAGAGGTCAATGTGACCTTGACCTTTGACCCCTTAACCCCAAAATCAATAGGGGTCATCTGCTGGTCATGACCAATCACCATACCAAGTTTGAAGTTCCTAGGCCTAAGGGTTCTTTAGTTATTGATCGGAAACTGTTTTTACCTAAGAGGTCAATGTGACCTTGACCTTTGACCCCTTGACCCCAAAATCAATAGGGGTCATCTACTGATCATGACCAATCACCATACCAAGTTTTAAGTCCCTAGGCCTAAGGGTTCTTTCGTTATTGATCGGAAACCGTTTTTACCTACAAGGTCAATGTGACCTTGACCTTTGACCCCTTAACCCCAAAATCAATAGGGGTCATCTGCTGGTCATAACCAATCACCATACCAAGTTTGAAGTTCCTAGGCCTAAGGGTTCTTTTGTTATTGATCGGAAACCGTTTTTACCCAAGAGGTCAATGTGACCTTGACCTTTGACCCCTTGACCCCAAAATCAATAGGGGTCATCTACTGATCATGACCAATCACCATACCAAGTTTGAAGTTCCTAGGCCTTAAGGTTCTTTACTTATTGATCGGAAACCGTTTTTGCTTACAAGGTCAATGTGACCTTGACCTTTGACCCCTTGACCCCAAAATCAATAGGGGTCATCTACTGATCATGACCAATCACCATACCAAGTTTGAAGTTCCTAGGCCTTAAGGTTCTTTAGTTATTGATCGGAAACCGTTTTTGCTTACAAGGTCAATGTGACCTTGACCTTTGACCCCTTGACCCCAAAATCAATAGGGGTCATCTACTTGTCATGACCAATCACCATACCAAGTTTGAAGTTCCTAGGCCTAAGGGTTCTTTAGTTATCACTCGGAAACCATTTGGTCTACGGACCGACGGACCGACGGACCGACGGACCGACAAGTGCAAAGCAATATACCCCCTTTTCTTCGAAATGGGGGCATAATAATTATGATTGTAAATTATCAAAATATTAAAAGATTATGATGAAGCAAAATAACGTCAGGTTTATAAAGAAAAGTCATACATATATCTAAAAAGATAAATTATCTATTATAAATTCTCACTAGAGGGTTAATGCGCTTTTTGTGTATTAACAACTGCAGAGGAACTTGAATACAGGCACTTCCACAAATGTTTATTCACCAGGAAAGGTCCATTAGCTTAATTCTTGAATGAATATATACACCTGATTTGGCTGTTTCTTAATCTCTTTATCACATAACCTTGCCTCCACTCAAGTGGGTGGGGGTTGAAGGTAACTGACAAGTCGGTGAGGGAAGAAGGGGTCCAACACTAGTTCTTTATACTACATAGTTTCAGAGATGTAAATATATTTTCCCCCTGAGTGCAGGGCATGTTTTTACCCAAGGGATGATTACCTGGTAATGATTAATATCAAACAATTGCTACATATTAAATAAGCTTTGGACATTATAGTATATATTACAAGAGGAATTAAATGACAAATGAGCCGCATCACGACAAAACCAACAAAGTGCGTTTGCGACCAGCATGGATCCAGACCAGCCTGCGCATCTGCGCAGGCTGATCAGGATCCATGCTGTTCACTATCAGTTTCTCTACTTGTAATAGGATTGGTAAGCGAACAGCATGGATCCTGATCAGAATGTGGGGATGCGCAGGCTGGTCTGGATCCATGCTGGTAGCAAATATATTATGTTGGTTTTGTCATGGCGCGGCTCAAATGACAAACATCAGCTCTTATAGTCCACTCCTATGTGCTTCAGATTGAAACAATTGATATACTGGTAGTTCTTTCTAGTAAGCCTTTTAGCTTATTCCTGTAAAATGTAATCAAAATCTACATAAGAAATAATGTCAAACAACTGACAAGAAACAACAAATGATGGACATCATTCCATCAGAAAATGTCATATATGAGCCAGAATCTACTGCTACATTAGGGTATATAATATGGGAATTACATGTTTTATAGATAATATAGTTTAGCACTTGTGGCTTACCATTTGTCTGTAGATAGTCCTTCTATGTCCTAAGCCTTGTATGTCATTCTGCTGACCTTAAAATAGAAAAAAGAAAAACCTCTTCTAAAATATGATTAAAATATGTGCTGAAGTTATTCAAGCCAATGTCAGGACAAACAAGTAAATTACAAAAGGTTATAACTAACAAAACAAAAAGAGCTATAGGTTTTAAAAAAAAAAAATTTTACCATTGCACTCGTCCTAAAAAGATCTGACCATTTATATACAGTTAAATGTTAATACCTCATGTACCTCAATTATTCTACTTAGTTACATTCAGAATAAGAAATTATGAGCAACTTTATAATTTTCCTGTTCATTATCCTCAGATATCAATGTGATTTATCCAATTATAAAGTATCATGTTGAGAACTCCTGAAGTTAATGCTATGGCAATATGAAATCTCACAAAGGGCAGTAACTCTAAAATAATGCAAAAGCTGACACTGCACTTAACCTTAATGAGATCTATAATCCGAGAAGTTTCATGCTCATATTTTCTATAATTTGTGAGTTATATACTCCAGACAAAGGTACCTGATGATTATATGGACACACATTCAACTATAATATGTTCTTTGAGGCCATTCCTTTCATTATTTTCTTTTCTTGGTCATGTTAAAATTATGAGTCTATTGTTTGATTGTGGTGGCTTTAACCTAATATAAATTAGTCTTCTAGCTTTCTAGACAGAGACACTAAGACAAGCTGTGTCAAGTATACTCTTCTAAAAAATTGTATTCTGAGGGGTTTAACAAAATATAAGTTAAATAATATACTTCCATTGTACATAAATTACAACAAAATCTCCCTTTGTATTTATACCCCCACTTGCTGCATCTCCTGTGCCAGGCAGGTTACTGTTTCCTGTCCTACCAACTTGACCACTTGCTCCAAACAACTGAAAAAAGAAATTTTTCAAACAATTCACATTTATCCTTGATGCTCTGCTTGGGTTGCTATAGTAACAAGTTTAGGAAGTAAACAAATATCTGAACAAGAACTGTTTGAGGACAGTAATGCTCGACTATTCGAAAAAGTTGTCACAAGGGTGTTCATTGAGTATAATAATGCTTACCTACATGAATACATAAAATTGTCCGAAAAGGTACAAAGGCTTGCTATTAAGATGTTTAACAAGTTAATCACTGTTTTAAGAAAAGGGGCATAATTATGCAAAAAAGCAAGCAGAGTTATGGGATTTGTGCCAATCATGTAAGATTATCACAGATAACAAGTGTGTGAAGTTTCAATCCATTCCCTTCAGTAGTTATGGAAATACCAGTTTACAAGCAAAAACTTAACCAAGAATTTTTAAGTTGAAAAAGGGGCATAATAATGCAAACAAGCAAATTCGTTGAATTTATATCCCCCGCCGAGTACTGGTTATTATTAACACAACAACTGAAGACATAAGGCTTTATTTATATATTAATCATGGCATAAACGGTAATATTCTTTGAACTTGATAAATATTCAGGGCAATAACAGAGCCATAACTTTGTGTTAAATAGTAATATCTGGAAATGCCAATGAGATGTATGCATACTACATAACTAATCAAAAGCCATAAATCTGAGTTATAAGTACAGTCTAACTTGCCCATGCGACCACGTGTATTAAGCGACTTTTGTCTTAAACGACCACTTTAAATTCCCCCCGATCATTTTCTCTCTATATCTTTAATGTATTAAGCGACTTTTGCTCAACGCGACCAGCGACCGCTATTTTGTCACCTAATTGACATCAATCTTTTCATTAAACGACCACTTTTACCTGTCAAGTAATTGTGTTTTTCGAGAACGCCACCTCGTTATGTCACAAGTGTCAATAATAAAAACACAATAAACGTGTGAAAAACTCTATTTCCCATACCGTTTTAGCGTATGCAAATGAAGTAAAGTATACGCGTGACGTGTATTATCCAATAATATCGGATAAACAATGCAACGCTCCGCCCATACTGAGATGGTGTATACCAGAGATCTGCCAAGAATTTGAAAGTACTGGGCCCTGGGCCCACTTGATCTGAAAATGATTTTTACCAAAGTATGGGCCTTGGGAAAATAAGTAAACATTGACCAAAATAACTGTTAAAAAGTTTGTAGATACATGTAATTGAATTTCCCCGGTAATAAAACTTAAATCATATTTTATGACAAGTGGTTCACTTATAATTCAGTACTTTACCAATAATTAAAAATTATGCCTACATGGTAACTTTCTAACTAATATTAATTGCAGGCAAAAATGAAAATATTTTTTTAATGGCTGCTCAAAAATTTGATATGCAAATTTATTCACATAATTGCTGGTTCTTACTTGTAATGTCTTATATTGTGCATTATCCATTTAATTGTTCCTACTTTGCACAAAATGTCCCTTACCAATGTATATTGACGAATTTTATTGCCCCTTGTATGCCTCTGTGTAGACAGCATACATCAAAGACATTTGCCGACAGACCTTTTGATCATGAAAAAAGTCATGCACAATGTTTCTCTGATTGGTTAATCACCCTGTCAAACATTCTGATGACGAAATATACATCTTTTTTTACACTTCATCAGCCAAAACTTGCGTGAACTTGAGCTTAGGGTTGATCAAGTTGAACACCTGTCAGATTATACTGTAACTTACAGCATTTCTTAAAATAGCAACACTTTTTTTTCAGTTACCGATAATCATTTTAAATATTAAGTAGTTGTATAATTTGTTTGTTTGTTTTATTGGATTAAATTTACGGTAGTAGAAATGAGTATCTGTGTGGGAAAGGGATTATGAGAAGAAATGCGGTAAGTAGATAACATGGACAAAAGCTATAGGTGAATGGATAAACTAAAGAATATGCGTAATTACAGAAGCATGTATAACATGTTGCTGTTGGTACCAGTTTTGACTGGATGACTAAATAACCCAGCAGACAGTTTTGTTTTCTTATAAGTCTGGCACAGATTTTAGATGCGCCCATGGCCCTTTGCTGCCGATTTTCCTGCGCCATTCTCATTTTTTTAGCGCCAATGGCGCAAAATCGCGTCCTCGGCAGATCTCTGTGTATACGCTTCGCTTGTTGACATTTAGACTGCATTGAATTGACCTTGAACTTGATCAGCCATTAAATTAATCGTAACAAATAGATGTAGTTTGTTTATTTCAAATGAAAAAATGCACAACAGAAAACATCTTCACTAATAGGGTTTTCGTGTTGGAGACAAGGAAAAACAACGGAGAAGTTAAAAAATTCTGGAAAAAATGTCAAACATGTACGTAATGGATCAAACCTGTTTTGTCAATAAATATCAGAAAGTTATTTTTTACATTTGCATCCATTTAGATTATCGGAGCGTACTTATTATTCAACATTTATATAAAAATGAAGTTGAAAAACAATCCCACCGAATAAAAAAGATGTCATTTATAAATTTTGACTTTTATATCATGCTGACTGTCTTAAGAGACCGTTTCATTAAGCGACCGTTTTGGGTGTTTCCCTTGCCCGGTCGCTTAATACACGTTTGACTGTATCTGACCGGAACAAGACGACTATATGCACATCTCCTCTTAGTATCCCATAAAGTTTCATTGAATTCCAGCCAGTAGTTACAGAGAAGTAGCACGGAAACTATAATTGCTCTTGTTGTATACTGCCTAAGTTATCAAGGGTCATTACTCTAAGTTAAAATGTCTGACCCGAAAAAAGGCGACAATATGCGCATCTCCTCACGGTATTGAAAGTTCCAATAAAGTTTTATTGAATTCCAGCCAGAAGTTGCAGAGAAGTAGCGAGGAAACGAATATTTTTCTATATGGATACTGCGTAACTAATCAAGGGCCATAACTCTGAGTTAAAGTGTCTGACCCCAACAAGGCAATGATATGCGCATCTTCTCTTGGTATTGAAGGTTCCCATAAAGTTTAGTTGAATTCCAGCCATAAGTTGCAGAGAAGTAGCACGGAAACAATTTTTTCTCTATATGCATACTGCATAACTAATCAAGGGCCATAACTCTGAGTTAAAGTGTCTGACAGGAACAAGGCAAAGATATGCGCATCTCCTCTTGGTATTGAAGATTCCCATAAAGTTTCGTTGAATTCCAGCCAGTAGTTGCAGAGAAGTAGCGCGGAAACAATTTTTACTCCATATGCATACTGCATAACTAATCAAGGGCCATAACTCTGAGTTTAAGTGTCTGACTGTAACAAGCGACGATATACGCATCTCCCCTTGGTATTGAAGGTTCCCATAAAGTTTCTTTGAATTCCAGCCAGTAGTTGCAGAGAAGTAGTGCGGAAACAATTTTTACTCTATATGCATACTACATAACTAATCAAGGGCCATAACTCTGAGTAAAAGGGTCTGACCGGAACAAGCTGACGATATGCGCATCTCCTCTTGATATTGATGATTCCCATAAAGTTTCGTTGAATTCCAGCCAGTAGTTGCAGAGAACTACTCCTGAAACGAAATTCGGACGGACGGATGGACGGACGGAAGGACGGATGGACAACGCCAAAACTATATCCCCCTCCCGATTCCATCAGCAGGGGATAAAAAGCTATCAGAGTTATAGGACTTGTGCCAATCATCTTAGATAATCACAGAGAACAAGTATGTGAAGTTTAAATCCATTTCTTTCAGTAGTTATGTAGATACCAGCTTTCACACAAAAACTTAACCAAGAATTTCTAAGCTGAAAAAGGGGCATGATTATGAAATAAAGCAAATCAGAGTTATGGGACTTGTGCCAGGGGGGTGGGGGAGGGAGGCAACGCTTGACTTTTTACTTTTTCTAAAAGCAAACAAAGAAATGTTTGAACAAATCTTAACATCTTAACGTTTCAGGGATGCCGACACTGACAAATGGGTGACTGCATTAGCTCAATTATTCTGCGAATAGTTGAGCTAAAAATGGAAAACAAACCATCACTTGCTTTCACAAGAGTAGTAAAACTCATATACATGTATACCCACTGATCTAATGTAAATAATATAGCCCCTTGATAAATGTAAATGAGATCATATACAGGACACTGTTTATTGATGTATTGATGTCAATGTGACCTTGACCTTTGACCCCTAAAACAACAAGAGGGCAATGATGGCCCTAGATTGCTCACCTGACCCATTGAACTCATTCGAACAATTACCTAGACAAGCATTCTGATCAAGTTTCATGACAGGTGAGTCAAAAATGTGACCACTAGAGTGTTAACAAGGATAATCCATATTTCAGGAGTGTGACATAGTTTTTTACCCAGGTGACCCATATTCGAACTTGACCTAGAATCTCATCAAAACAAACTTTCAGACCAATTTCCAGGATACTTGGATCAAAACAGTAGCCACTAGAGTGTTAACAAGATTTTTCTATTTTTAGCTCTGGTGACCTAGTTTTTCATGTGAGATGACCCATGTTCGAACTCATCCGAGCAATTACCTAGACAAGCATCCTGACCAAGTTTGAGGATAATTGAGTCAAAAATGTGACCACTAGAGTGTTAACAAGGTTTTTCCATATTTTGGCGGTGTGACCTGGTTTTTTATCCGAGATGACCTATGTTCGAACTTGACCTAGATATCATCAAAACAAACTTTCAGACCAATTTACAGGACATTTGGGTCCAAACAGTAGCCACCAAAGTGTTAATAAGATATTTTTATTGTTAGCTCCGGTGACCTAGTTTTTCATCCAAGTTGACCCATGTTCTAACTCATTCTATCTATTACCTAGACAACCATCCTGACCAAGTTTGATGATGATTGAGTAAAAAATGTGACCGCTAGAGTGTTAATAAGGTTTTTCTATTTTTAGCTCCTGTGACCTAGTTTTTCATCTGAGATGCCCCATGTTTAAAATCATCCGAGCTATCACCTAGACAAGCATCCTGACCAAGTTTGATGATGATTGAGGCAAAAATGTGACCACTAGAGTGTTAACAAGGTTTTTCTATTTTTAGCTCCGGTGACCTAGTTTTTCATCCGAGATGACCCATGTTCAAACTCATCCGAGCTATCACCTAGACAAGCATCCTGACCAAGTTTGATGATGATTGAGGCAAAAATGTGACCGCTAGAGTGTTAACAAGGTTTTTCTATTTTTAGCTCCAGTGACCTAGTTTTTCATCTGAGATGACCCATGTTCGAACTCATCCGAGCTATCACCTAGACAAGCATCCTGACCAAGTTTGATGATGATTGAGGCAAAAATGTGACCGCTAGAGTGTTAACAAGGTTTTTCTATTTTTAGCTCCTGTGACCTAGTTTTTCATCCGAGATGACCCATGTTCGAACTCATCCGAGCTATCAACTAGATAAGCATCCTGACAAAGTTTGATGATGATTGAGGCAAAAATGTGACCGCTAGAGTGTTAACAAACAAGTGTGGACGGACGACGGACATTCAACGATCCTAAAAGCTCACCCTGAGCTGGCTCAGGTGAGCTAATAAAGGTCATCTTCCGGGTACTGGCCAAGGCCAATGCACCTATGATGTTTATCCCAATTTAGGGTTCAGTCCATTCATCTATCTGTCACTATGACAAATCACTATCTTGCTAGGCCCAGGCGTTCTAATGTTATTGATTGGAAAGGTTTTGGTCTATGACCAACCAACTGATAAGTGCAAAGCAATAATTACCCCCACTTCTTCAAAGGGGGGCATATTAATAGACTTCTCAACTTTAATATTGGATGAATTACCATGTTCACTTGTTATGTGGAACAGTTTCTTTATTTGTAAACACACAAGGAAAAGTTTAATAAAAATTTTCACACCTCTACTTAAACGTGGCTCTTTCACATTTTGATGATCTGCTTAAATAAGAGCCTTCTACACTTCTGTTGTCCAGCACACAACCAAAACAAAGCTGGAAACGGTAAACAAAGTTTCTAAACATACATTTTTAAAGAATCCGCTTGTTTCTTACATTCTAACATTTTTTTTCATCATTTTGGATGCAATTTCTATAAGTTGCTACAATGTGGAGTGCCATCTTTTATGATTTCACTACCAGAAAGTTAATATCTGCCCATATTTAAACAAACTCTGTGAATCATTCTTTGTGTTGAGCCATAGAAGAGGTTAAGACAATGTTACATGCACCATTAAGTCAACAAAAACTTTATGGTAGAGAAACCACTCAAGATATGTCTTAAGTTGTGAAAAAAAAAAAAGTTAGTATTTGTTAAAATAGTAGCAACATCATTTGGGGGAAGTTTCATTTTGAAAATGCATTAAAAATTAATGCGAAAAAATGTTCTACATGCTAAAGCATTTTTTCGGTTTTCAAAAAACAAGCAAGTTCTTTAAAAAATGGATATTTTTAGAAACTGTGTTTATCTTTTTCAGCTTTATTTTGGTCAAGGGCTCTGCAACATAAGTGTTTAAGGTTCTCATTAAAACAGATCACCAAATTGTTAGAGAGCCAGTATTATAGTAGGGGTGTAACACCTCTTGTTACTAAATGTAAATCTACATTGATTTGAAATTCAGTATTTACCTGTGGATCATTCTGGCAAAGGCTTTGGATGTATCGGCACTCTGGGGACAATCGCCTATGTTCTGTGAAAGGGCTATCGTCTGTAAATAAACTTTTCCTGATTACTTATTTTGACAAGATGAATCAGAGTATTTAAACAATTTTGATGGATGTATACGTACATACAGAGATAAAAAGGTAGATACATAATGCTAAATTCAATAATATGACCCTCTATGGCAAGAATAAATTAAACACATCCACAAATAACAAAACTATGGCAAAAAGTAGAAAAAAAATCAAAGCATTGTTATGTCTAAGTATGACAATAATACATCTATTTATAACAAAGAAAAAGCCAATTATAGCTAATTTCAGCAAAATTAAAGGATTTCAAATATTGACAGTCAAGGTCATTTATTGGTCAAAGTCAAATTTCTTCTTAAATGAATTTAATGCTTAATGAGTCCAAATCAAGTTCAAAACATGAGCCGTGTCATGACAAAACCAACATAATGGGTTTGCGACCAGCATGGATCCAGACCAGCCTGCGCATCCATGCAGTCTGATCAGGATCCATGCTGTTCGCTATCAGTTTCTCTACTTGTAATAGAGTTGGTAAGCGAACAGCATGGATCCTGATCAGACTGCGCAGATGCGCAGGCTGGTCTGGATCCATGCTGGTCGCAAACCCATTATGTTGGTTTTGTCGTGACCTGGCTCACATTATGATTCACGACAAAATACACGCTATTCTCTTTAAAATAAGCTTCGCATGCGTCAGACATCATGTTATTGGTATTCAAGTTTGAGATCTATTTGAATATTTTATCTTACTTTATTGAACTTTTATAGAAATGTTCAGGTTAGATTGTTTCACCCATTTTTTTATTGTATTTATTCATCATATTTGCATTTTTTACAGCTGTGTTATTATTGACGCCATACATTATAAACAAAATCAAAGCACAGAAGGCGCTGAATTTGTTTGGGTCTCAGAATGTCAGAAAGGTGAAGGTTGTGAGATTATAAACCAATTTGTTTTTGTATAGTGCCACCAATGCTTTTCAGCGTTTTAATTGTAGTAAATTGGCTATAAGACTAATTGCAACACTAATATTTAATCCAATGTTTATTTGACTTAAACAATTTGAAAAAAAAAATAATAGGGACCTAACTCTGCCAAAAATCATCAAACCATTGTCCAAATTCAAACTTGACCTGTGCATTCCTTTGACATATCCATATGTCAAATTTGAGTTGAATATGTAGCGCTTACTGTTGGGGAGATAATGAATAGAAACTGAAAATTTCATAATATTTTCAAAGTGAAAGGGGCATTACTCTGCCAAAAATCATTGAACCATGACCAAATTTGATCTTGACCTGTGCATTCCTTTGAAGTATCCATATGTCAAATTTGAGTTGAATGTGTAATACCGTTGGGGAGATAATGAACAGACACTGAAAATTTCATATAAAAAGGGGTATAACTCTGCCAAGAATCATCAAACCATGACCAGATTTAAACTAGACCTGTATTTTCTCATGACATATCCATATGTCAAATTTGGGTTGAATGTGTAATACCGTTATGGAGATAATGAACGGAAACTGAAAATTTCATATTATTTTCAAAGTAAAAAGGGCATAACTCTGCCAAAAATCATCGAACCATGACCAAGTTCAAACTTGACCTGTGCATTCCTTCGACATATCCATATGTCAAATTTGAGTTGAATATGTAACACTTACTGTTGGGGAGATAATGAACAGAAACTGAAAATTTCATATTATTTTCAAAGTGAAAGGGGCATAACTCTGCCAAAAATCATCTAACCATGACCAAAGTTTAATTCAAACTTAATTTCTCAAGACATATCCATATGTCAAATTTGAGTTGAATGTGTAATACCGTTATGGAGATAATGAATGGAAACTGAAAATTTCATATTATTTTCAAAGTAAAAGGGGGCATAACTCTGCCAAAAATCATTGAACCATGACCAAAGTTTAATTCAAACTTGACCTGTATTTTCTCATGACATATCTATATATCAAGTTTGAGTTGAATGTGTAATACGTTTGGAGAGATAATGAACAGAAACTGAAAATTTCATATTATTTTCAAATTAAAAGGGGCATAACTCTGCCAAAAATCATTGAACCATGACCAAATTCAAACTTGACCTGTATTTTCTCATGGCATATCCGTATGCCAAATTTGAGTTGAATGTGTGCAACCATTACTAAGATAATGAACGGAAACTGATGATGATAGAATGACGGAAGGACGCAATGACGGAACAGGGTAACACTATATGCCCAAGCCATTATATGGTGGGGGCATAAAAGTTCAATCTAAATTACTTCTGCACCATTATCTTAGACATTAGTAGCTTGTCTCAGGAAAATGGTGGACTTTGCAGGCATCTTAGCTTGAAACTGATAACAATTGCTGATTGGCTTATCACTGTGACCACTGCCAGCTTGATTGACAGTAGCGTAATGTCAATTGTCAGACATTTGAACTCTAAGTGCAAAATTGACCTTCAGCAAGCATAGCTGTGGCATAGGTTCTGTTCTGCACACTGCTTTGGTGAGATGAACATGTTATCCAAGTTGGAAAAAACCCTTCATGGGGTACAAGATTTATAAAGCAGAAATACAACTGTCTGATCTTTGACCTTCAGGTAACCTTGACCTTGAGACTACACAGTGGCATCTGTGAGTTCTACACATAGCCTTGAAGTGGTATAGGATTTTTAGAACTTAGGACACAATGCTAGATATCTTAACATATTTTTAGAACTTGGACACAATGCTAGATATCTTAGCTCTTGGCACTGCAAGACTGAAACGTGTCTTCTCATACAAGATTATATAAACTTGAGGCGGGGCCAACATTTTCCAAAGGGGCATAATTTAAATATCAGTTTTGTAGAAGCCAACAAGGCAATGCTGTTGTAACATGTCATATATCTTAACTCTATGCATTGTAATTTCACAAAATAAGACTTAAATGTGTTTTCCTTCACCAAAATATATTATCTTAGTGACCACTGGAGCGGGACCAATATTGACCTATGGGGCATGATTAATACCAGTTATTTTGTGGTCCACAAAATGATGTTACAAGCCAAATATCTAAGCTCTGGGCATTGTAATCTCACACAATAAGTCTCCTATAAATGTCTTTATTAATCAAATAACCCCTTGTTAACATTATCAAAACCAAAATATACATTCACCTTATAATGTATGATATTATTTTTTATTTGAAAATAAAATGACGTAGAAGGTTTAAACTCAGAGTTAGTGTTATATTTAATTTTAAAGTAGATAAAACATTTATGTTATACCCTGGGGCGGGGCCAATATTGAACAGAGGGGCATGATTCATATCATTTTTATAAAGGTCATTAAGATAATTCTACATATTAAATATCTAAGCGCTTGGCATTGTAGTTTCACACAGTAAGATTTGGATAAGTGTACCTATAAAAGTTTATATAAATCAAGTGACCCCTAGGGCGGGCGGGCAATATTGAACCAAGGGGAATGATTCGTATCAGTTTTGTAAATGTTAACAAGGCAATGCTGCAATTGCTTAATAACTAAGCTCTTGAAATTGTAGTTACATACATTGAAACTTAAATGTGTTTTCCTAAACAAGTCTATATAAATCAATTTATCCTCTAAATTGAGTGATGCAAAATAATTAAGTGTGACCTTGACCTGAGAAAGGTCAAACCTGCACTCTGCACAGCATCTCATTATTGTTAACATTTCTGCAAAGTAGTTTTTTTTCTTTAACTGGTTCAAAAGATACAGACTGGAAACGAAAACTGCTAATGGACAGACAGAAGAAAAGGTGCATAAAATTACATGCCAAAATTTGTTTGGGCGTATAAAAAATGGAAGCCATAGTTATGTTACTTGCCAAGGTCATGTACTTTGCATTATTAAGTCCGTAAATTATGAAGCCATTGGTAAATGTAGAACTTTAGACATGTTACATCCAACTTGCCTCCTAAACCTCAACCTCGTATGAACAAAAAGACAGATGGCTGAATTACTATATGCCCGGGGCATAAAAAAATCATTTTTGTAACAATTATCTGTCTAAGTAAATGAGGAAGGCATTGTCTGGCAAGGTACTTGTGTTGTGACTGAAATATTTTTCCTTCAATACAAGCACCTCACACAATTACATTGGTATCCCTGCTCAAAAGATTTAGAAATCAGGAATTTCCATACTTCATCTCAAAACTACCTCATGTTAATTGTTAAATTCTTATCTAAACTTGTACAATAAACATGCTATTATAATAATCTAACAACCTATAGATTTAACCTGCTGAATTGGTGTAACTGATATGCCCTGCTTTGAATTTATAACACAAGGGATAAAAAATACAAACATTTGAGCTACCAACAGTATAGAGCCCAGTGCCAGACTCCATATATGTGCTATATATACTGGTGGTATTTAAAGGATAATAAATTCTGCAGGTTAAAGAGTACAAGATAACAAGAGGGCCATGATGGCCCTGAGTCGCTCACCAGAAACAACTGCTAGTGTTGGAAATTATCCATTGTCAATATTTTCTAATATATTAAATTTGAGCACAGAATATCTTTAAACAATAATTTGAAGAAATGCTATGACCTGGGGCATTTAAGCTTTAGCTTAAACAGAGCCAATCAAATTAATATGAGCAAACTTGATTAAAGACTACCTTAGAATGCTACAAAGTTTGGGTGATCATCCATCAATTATTTCAGTAGGAGAGGTTGTTCAAAGGTTTTTTTTGTTTTTTTTTAGCTTTAGCGGCCCCTAAAAGGGACCAATCAAATTAATATGAGCAAACTTGATAAAAGACTACTAAGAATGCTACAAACAAAATTTGGTAATCATCTGTCCATTAGTTCTGTAGGAGACGTTTAAAGGTATTTCTATTTTTAGCTTTAGCGGCCCTTAAAAGGGGCCAATCAAATTAACATGAGCAAACTTGATAAAACACTACCTAAGAATGCTACAGACAAAGTTTTGTGATCATCCATCAATAAATTCTGTAGAAGCAGACATTTAAAGGTT